ATCTTTTAAGTCCTTGTTCTGCGAAAAATCCTCGACAACAAATTGACTTTTCATCCTCTAATTACGGTTGACAATTCGTGTCATCAAATACAATATTAATTATCTGTGTCCTTTTTCAGTGATCGCAAAGTTTTTTGCTTCTTTTATTTTTTTATTTTTTTCATTTTCATATTAGCTCCGTCTTGCCGTGTAGGACTTTTTATTTTTTTATTTTTTTCATTTTCATATTAGCTCCGTCTTGTCGTGTAGGACTTTTCTCGATAAATCTTTTGCTTATTTAAAGTTGATTGCAAAATCATTCTATGTTAAATGCCTTATTTAAGTTACAAATAAGGCATTTCTTCGTCTCTTCAACTTCTAGATGGGAAGGATTTGACCTAGATCTCTCTCTCCCCTCCCTTGTTGTTTTTCGTTTTATTTCTTCTTGTTTCTTTTCTTACTCTCTCGATCTAGTTTTAGATCTGGGAGTTTTGCTCTCCCGATATTAGATTTGGAGGCTTTTCTTTGCTATCTAATTCTATATTTAGGAATTTTAATGAATAAGCACTCCGCCTCCAGTTTTAATGGTATTCATAGCAGCTTTGGTGTCAAATTTGTGCTTGTTCAACGTGTTTTTGTTAAAAGTTTCGGAGTCTCGCACTTGCTAAATGGCTTGTTCTCATAGGTGTCAAATATGAGCTTGTTCAACATATTTATGTTGTCTCCGTACAGTGATGGCGTTAGGGATGCCAAACCTTTTGGCACACTGCCGAATGGCAAAACTGTAATTACAGATGGAGATCCTTGGTGTGTGCTCATCACTGATAAAAATATGTGATTCGTTAATTAGTCGCCGATCCTTTTGTTTGGATGCAGTCACAGATCTATTCTAGAAGGACGAACGTGTGATTATCTTTGTCAATAATGCTTTGATGATGTACCTTGATTTTTGGTTTTTTGGTTTATTTTAGAGTTTTACAGGTTTGCCTTGTTATGCTGACTTTTGAGATTTCCTACTGATCGTTTCATGTATCATTTTGGTAATGAATGGAAATCTCTTTTGACCAAAAAAAGTTACAAAAGAAGAATAATAAGGATGACTTGGACAAAAATTGATCAGCATAAGTGCTACCAATTTGTGATTACCTTGCACATGTGATAAACATGAAAAAGAAAAATTACTTCAAAAATCCTAAATATATATTTTAGGAAATGCAAACAATTTCTAAATGCTTCATAAAGCGCAATCAAATTCGTATGGAGTGCAATCGATGACGGCACCATTTGGATTTTCTCACAAAATCATGAAGGATTTTGACTAATGGTTATTTGATAAAACAGGGAGGGGTTCGCCGCTCATGGAATACATGACTTGCTTAAAACCGTTAATTGAAATTGAACTCAAATTCTATGTAAAATCGAGTGAGTACGACCTCCATGGCCGTGGTGGTGGGCTCTGCTCATTGATATGCTTGAGTTTCCGAGAGAGAGAGAGAGAGAGAGAGAGAGAGAGAGAGAGAGAGAGAGAGAGAGAGAGAGAGAGAGAGAGAGAGAGAGAGAGAGAGAGAGTACAGAACTTATAGTGCAAAGAGAAAGACGACGAAGCCTGCGGTGATGGCGGCGACGGTGACTTGGTGGTGGATTTGATTTTTTTTTTTTAATTTTATGGCGGTAGAGAAGTGGAAATGCTATCTCAATACTAGGCATTACTAGGTAACTCAACTCCACATTGAGGAATTGAATTTCCCAAGTAAGGCTCCGTTCGTTTAACGAAAAATAACTTTCAGGAAAACATTTTTCGGGTTTTCTAATGTTCGTTTCACGGAAAATAAACTAACTATGGAAAACATTTTCTCTCAATGGACAAAACACCTCCAAAAGTGAGGAAAATGTTTTCCACTTTTTGAAAAGAGGAAAACATTTTCCCCCTACTTCTTTCATCATTCATTATACTTATTTTTATGTTCTTTTTTTAAAATTTTGATTTTTATTATTTTTAATTATCTTTTTTTTTCTTTCTCTTTTCTATCTTCTTCTCCGGTCGGTCATTGGCCACAGGCGAGCTCGGGCCTCGCCCGAGGTCGCCAGAGTCTCGCCGACATCTAGTGACCTCAAGCGAGGCTTGAGCCTTGCCTAGCTCGCCCGACTAACCTTGGGCGAGCTCGACCTCGTCGGATCAGGCGAGACGGAGCCTCGCCACAAGCCGGCGAGGCTCGAGCTCGCCTGTGGCCGGTCCCCGGTTGTTCCTGTGGCCGGCGATCAGCCGAGGAAGAAGAAGAAGGGAAAAAAAAGAAAAAGAAAAAAAATTATTAAAAGTATTGCAAGGAGTAAAATCTTTTTCATACTAAACAACAGAAAATATTTTCCGAGACTTTTTCAGATTTCAGCTGAACATCGGAAAATTATAACATTTTCCGCGAAACGAACGGAGCCTAAATTCCATTTCCAGATTCGAACTTCTTTCCAAACTCGATGAACTTGTATTAGGATTTCTATTCACCGACTAATCTAATTCCACATGGAAAACCAAGCAAGGCTTTTAAGTAATGTTGGAGCTAGCCACACCTGCACCCGGTTCAGTAGGCCTAGTGGATATGATCTGTTGGATCATGTGGGACTCATGTGGGGTCCATATAATATGATGGATCACATGTACAGGGTTTTGTGTTCCAGGTGCACCTAATAGCTTTCGTGCACTATGATCGGGGAAGAGATCCTTTACATGATTTTCATGAGATTAGTCAAAATAATATATTTTAAGATGTTTAATCGAAATAAATGGGTCATCTTGATGCGCGGACTAGTTTTGCTTCGATCTCTAGCACGATGAATTAGTGTCCCATCTCATGCCTTGAATTGAAAGTCAAAGGTTACGTTTAGATATTAAATGTATACTGATGGAACAGCAATCGTGTGATTCCATCTTAAATTGATGTTGAGGCCATTCCCCTTTTCTTTGTTGCATAGCGTGTTTGGGGAATGGGTTACTAGAGCCAGTTTGAAGTGGCCGTGGTTGAACAATAGCTTTGTTATGTTTTGTTTTCTTTTTTGTTTATCTTACTCTAACTCTCATTTCATTCTCAGACTTTTGCTCTACCTCTTTGCAGAATGTGTGAGTCGAACCGCACATCGAAAACTAAATGTCCCCAACCCCAGCCCTCCTGAGAAGGTGGAAATCGAACTTTCCACCTCCCCCTTCCAAGTGAGAAAGATGGGTGGCCACTAGGGCAGCCCCTAGTGGTTAGTAGATATGTTATGTTTATTTGGGCTATGAAGTGCGTTGTAATTTATGTGCTTAGTGATATACATATTTTTAAAGTTGCAATGCTTCAAAATTAGGTAAATTGGCCTCCAAAAAACTGTTATGAACTGATGTAGTGTTGGAGGAGCTGCAATTATACAGTATTTGCTCAACTCCTCATAAAAGCTACAACACCCTTAATTATAGCTAACTATTGTGGGAAAGTTATACTAAAATGCTTCTCAGTACGGAACAATGTTACTCATCTAACTTGATTTAGATTTAGGTTTAGATATGGGAGTTCCTTATAGGTATTTCATTTGGGTTCTTTCAACATAGTGCACGGCGATGGTGATGAAGACGTTGAATCTAGACTCGCACTGCAAGCCATTGCAAATTGAGTAGGGGATCTCGGAGTGTGCTTATCACTAAATTTTGGTGATCGGCCGTCGAACATTTATAGTGACGTATTTGTTCTTAAGGGATGAGAGTGTGTTTTTAGTTGCAAATTGTGCTTTGTGCTTTGTTATTTGTCTTCTAGTATTTACTTTGTTCCACAATTGTTTGGGATTTGCTAGGCTTGCATGTATTCTATGTACCTCTCGGATATTATTATGATGAATATAATCTTTCTTTCAACCAAAAAAAAAATCTGACTTTTATGTCGAGTATTATATATGGGATGCCATCGGATGTGATTAATTTTCAATTTATCAAAGATTGGTACATAATAGCCTTTAAATAAGTGATCATTTGAATTATTATGTGACATCGTCTATCAATAGTTGGTAAATGTCCATAGCCTTGGAATCAGAGATTCTCTAAATTTGAAAGGTAAAATTTCATTTAAAATTTATTCCATTTTAGGGAAAACATATCAATACCTTTGATTTTAATGGTCGACGTGTTTTTGTCTTTTCGTTTCCTTTCACGTTGCAAGTTTCATTCCATTTAAGGTTCTAGTAAAAATGTGAGTAATGGATGCCCTCGTTACTTTATATTTAATTGTATATTTGGATTATTCGTTATTTATTTACTCTAAATAAATTATTTAGAGGGGGTATTTTTTTATTTGTTATGTACTTTTTTTTTGTCAGAATTTGTTATGTACTTATACCAACAGAAGTCCCCTGACACGTTGGAGAAACATATTTCGTCAGTTCGCACATTGGAGCGACCATTGTCACTGAAAAAGGCCTGTTATGTTCCAATTGCTAATCTTCCTTTGACTTGAGATATTAGTATCGACTTATTCATCACTTACACTCCACTTATTTCGTGAAAAAATTTCTTGTAGAAACCATTTTTCTCATTTTTCAATGTTGGGATCACTAATGAAAATGAGTTAATGAAAAATCTTTTCATAATCAAACGAAAAGAAATGTTTAAATAAAGAAAATAACTTCCCCTTTTAAAAATGAAATATCATTTTCCATAATACGACTAGATATCAGTACTTGAATTAGAGACCTCAATGCTTTGGCACGGGAACCCGACGCTCGTGTCCAAGTGCTCAGTGGCCAAGTTTGGATCCTAAACGTCAGGCTTGGCAACTCGATGCCCATGCTGAGGTCCTTGACGGCTATGCTCGTAACTCTGATGCTTGTGCCCGAGTCCTCGACGGCCGTGCCCAGGTACCCGGCTCCCAGGTCGTAACCACAATTTATTAGCTACTCTTAGCACTATTTTATTATAAGTTTGAGAACTCAAGTTAGCCAGGACGTGGTGCAAGAGATACTTTCAATTCCACTTAGCCACACACCCATGATTGATAAAATGGTTTGGACTGGAAATAGTGTAGGATCTTATTTGGTAAAAAGTGGCTACAACAAACTATGCTCCCAGGACAAGACATTCAACGCCAACCAGGCGTCTTCGTCGTATCAACCCCGTAGATCTTTATGGACCACAATTTGACAATCTCCCTCGTACCCAAAAGTTCGATTTTTCCTGTAGTGCGTATGCAACAATGCACTTCCTATTAAGGAAAACCTTTATAAAAGAGGATTGGTATCTAACCCGCTCTGACCGGTGTGCACCGCAAATTCCCAGAATCTCCGGAGCATCTCCTCCTCCTTTGTGACTGGACAAAACAGATCTAGTCGGACTCTTGGTTGAACCTCGACACCTCACCGACGAAAATAACCAGAATTGACAAGTGGATATTGGAAAACCTACCTTCCCAAGCTGAACCATCCTCTACAGCAATACTTGCCGGTGTTCTATGGATGATTTGGAAGGAAAGGTACGCGTGGGTATTTAAGAAAAGGAAGCCGAAACCCAGCCAGTTAGTTGAGGAAGCGTTTAATTAACATATGCTATTTGAGAAATGGAATCACAGCAAAAAGAAGCACAAAGGACAAGTTACCTCACCTCTCGACCACTGGATCCCTCCGCCTGAGGGTTCTTGGATGTTCAATGTCGATGCGTCCTGGTGCGATGAGTCGCAGGAGGGAGCGGTCGGTGGGGTTTGTACAGACTATCGTGGGCTCCTCAGAGGTGGATTCACAAAGAAAATACACGCCCCTTCGGCCCTGTTAGGGAAAACCCTCGCGGTGAGAGTGTGGAGAGGACATGGGAGAAGAGGAAGCTTGAAACTGATCTGCGCTCAGTCCAAACTGATCTGCGGGCTGTCATTACTTCTGATAGCTTATCAGCCGTGTCCTTTATTCTGGGCTGGGCCGAATGTCCTTGGCCCATTCGGTCTATTGTGATGGATTGCCAACAAATACTAGCCCACTCAGTGACGCCTCCGTAGCCCATTGTTCCCGAAATGCAAATCAAGCCGCGGATTGGATGGCAAAGGCTCACCGGAATGGCTCACTTTCTCCGAATTGGCTATCTAGACCCCCCCACTCCCTTTGGTTTGTATTGTGTTTTGATTTCAGATAATCTTGTTGTTTAAATCCTTCTTAGCAATGAAAGTATGGCTTTTTTGACCAAAAAAAAAAGTTTGCCATCTATCACTCATTTATTGTGCCGCATCTCCTAAATTTATAATCATAAGTTTTAATTATGGAATTACGTCATGCATGACCTCACTCTTTTTAACTCTAGCCCATTAATGTTCTTGATTAGCTTGTAAATCAAGACTCTCATTCATGCACCTACTTGACCAATAACTAAACCATGGTTTAAAGTGATCTTTAAAAGTGGAATCAAGAAAGAAATTATTGGAATCATCCCCATTTGCTCCTCTTGGCCGAGACATCGTCACCTTCACATCGTCAACTTCACATTTCAATTTCATCTTCCGATCTTTTGAAACTAAAGCAAAACTTCCCACACAAACTTCAATCAAGCTCCAAAGTCTATCCAATTTCAGTTAAGCTCTTAATCTCACCTATCAAATGTTTTACAAAGTAAATTCATGGATTTCATTTTTCTGTTAAATTAGTTTTATTTTTTTTAAATGAGAATTGTTAACTTTTTATTGTTTTTTTTTATTTCAATGTGATTAAGGCCTTTGTTTATTCAAAGTTCAACTCAAGGTAAGTGAATCTCGAGGGACTAAAGTGGGTTGATCCACCCAGTAATTCTGATCCTTGTTTGATTTTAGCTTAAAAGTATGGATGATAATATAGATCCCTCTAGTTAAAAGGAATTAATGATGACATGATGAGCTAAGAGGCAAGATTATATTTATGAGTGATCTTAGATGATTTTTTTTTATCACGAGTTGTTGTTTTAAGATTAAAATGATGCTTGTTGGTGCCTACTTGTTATTAAAATTTCATGAAATGTCCATTATGTTCATGATATCACAAGAAGATGCTATGAGTCATTTTATAGGTCATGACTATATTTCATGAATAAAAACACGATCGAGTGATTTCAAGAGGATTTTAAATTAATTTTGATGAGCAAAAATGTTAGAGAGATGAAAGTATGAATATAAAGGGGTAAATAGTAATTTTGTATAATACAAGGGCAAGCATGTAAATTCACGGCATATAAATTAAGTTGTGAATAGTGAAATTTGTTAATTAAAATGGTTGATAGTTAGTGATTAAGATAGATTCATTAAAGGAAATGAAATCGGGTAGAAAGATCTAAGTATTGTACAATATGGGCTATTTTGTTATTTCAAAATGTTACAGTCTTATGTTCTAGAACTGAAAATTTTGGGGGCTATTTGTTTTTGGGTCGAAGTTTTGGGGTCTATTTAAATGTTAAGGATGCTTATGATGGCAGGTTCTTGATTAATTATACAATTAATTGTCTAATCAAGACAATTAATTTAACTTGTCAAAATTCGGACTTGATAGCAAAAGTATTTTAAGGACCTCAACATGTAAACAGGGAGTGTTCTACTACAAATGTCTTCTTACAAGTATGATCCTCGGGCGTCAATTGCTATCTATATATCTATAGTGTCAATAAAATATCCATATAGATCAAATAACAAATGAATAACCTTAGCGAAGTAATTTGATTAATAGAGCAAGATTAAGAAAAAATTAAAGAGATGAGCCACATTGTGATTAATGCCATGTGATTTGCACCAATGAGGTTATACAAAATGTAGTGTGGAGATATTAGGGCGCATATGATTTTTAAAAGAAAACTTTATTATATGGATATATTATCGTTGTTATACACTTATGTGATGTAAGAATGTTGTGAGCTCTTGGGTTTAGATGATGATTGTTTTATGAATAAGATTGATATATTGTCCATTGATGCACTATGATAAAGGAATGTTTATTTTGATATTCTTTGTGACATGTATATAGTTTGGGATAACAACAGTAGAAGTGCCATAACTTTCGTACGGCGCTCACTTGAGCGCCATAATTTTTTTTCCGTTTACTTAAGTGCCACATCGGAGTAAAATCGATCATTTAAGTGCCATTTCCGGCAAACCTTCTTACGTGGATTTTTTTTAATTAATTTCTCATTCTGACGTGGATTTTTTTATTTTTGAATTTTTTTATTAATTGTTCAAGTCAGCACCGATGATGCCACGTCGAATTTTCTGGCTAGGCGAATCGCCAATAGCACTTACGTAATCGAATTTTCAAATTAGTTGCATTCAAGCGAGTGCCGTACGAAAGTTATGACATTCCTGGTGTACTTATCCCAAAAATGCTTATACATGTGTCCATTGAAAGAGTGATTATTTAAATATTTGAGAAAATTATCAATTTATTCCTAAACCTATTGTATTGATGTCTATTCGGTTTTTAACTTTCAAATTTGGTCAATATAGTCCTACACATTTGCACGATATCTAAACATAGCATTTCCTGTCAATTGCTGTCACAAATTGCGACGTGGAAATCAACAAATTGCTCAGGTCAACATGCCACTTAGGACAACCGGTGATGACTAAACACCACGTCAGCGATTTTTTGTGGCAATTGGTGAGAAAGACTACATTGAAAAATTGCCCAAAAGTTTATGACTACGTTGACAAAACTAAAAAGTATGGCTTATGAAGTGGAATAATTAGTTATTGATAAGAAAATTATGATAATTGTAATTGCATTATAAGACAATCCAATCAAACCATCGGCAAATACATATTTTTTTGTCAATTCTAAATGCATCAAAATTTCGAAAGAAACAAAAGAAAAGAAAGGTAAGAAATAGTCTTAAATATGGACCGGCAAGAGATATTATGGTTAATTTAAGATAAAAGGGGGCGTCAGAAGTCAAAAAATAGATGGAAAAAGGCCTTTTATGCGTTTATCCTTTTCACATAATTACTCATTTAAATGTTAAACCTAACCTACTTATTTATATTTGAGTTGATGCAAGTAAAATAATGAGAGAGTATGATGAGTTTCTAGAATTAAGGGTCGTACTGGGGTTGGGAAAAAGGAGAGGTGAATGATGTAATTTGTAATTAATACTACTATGTATTAATACATAATAATTATTTTAATGATATTTTAATTTTGATCTTTCTTGAAAATTAAATTTAAAATATTTTGGATTTTCTAAGTAATCATTCATGAGAAGTACCTAGTTTTATAAATATGATACCCTTTTCTATTAATATGTCTTATAAAGAATTAATTAATATAAGGCATTTGTTTACGTAGGACCCTTATGGTAAAGTTCAAAGGGAATTGCATTGATTAGCCCTCCCTAACCTTTTCGCTTATAAAAGAAAATGTTTTAGATAAGGGCAACGGAAATGCTATAACTTTCGTACGATGCTCACTTAAGTGCCACATCGGAATAAAATCGATCATGTAAGTGCCATTCTCGGCAAATTGTCCTATGTGGATTTTTTTATTTTTGAATTTTTTTAATAAATTATCCACGTCAGCACCGGCGATGCTGCGTAGGACGACCGGCGTCCGCGTCGGATTTTCCGGCAAGATAAATCGCCGATATCACTTAAGTGATCGTTTTTTCAAATTTGTGGCATTTAAGTAAGCAAAATAAAAAGTTATAGCACTCAAGTGAGCGCCATACGAAAGTTATGGCACTCCTAGTGTTCTTATCCCTATATAGTTTTGTTATTATTGGGACACACTTATGTGATGTAAGAATGTTGTAAGCTCTTTCATTGAATGATTATTATTTTATGAATAAGAGTTTGTGGATTTGCAAATGACGATAAATGGATATTTGGTTTCCAACGTTGATATGAAAAATGCCAAGAGATCATTATGATATTATTTGCAAATGGGGTTATCGAAATTTGCATGGCACTCGTTATGTTACAATAAATTGTATGTTAGTGATGCCGTGTGATGAAAAGCTTTGCCACAGCTTATTCGCTAGACAGTGAACTCCGTTGTATGAGCATGTGTATAAGACTATAGTAAAAGACAAACTAAGACGGGTCTCTACAAGATTGAGAGGATATAAAGTCCTATGATTCATACACAAAATGATGTACTTTGTGTAGCCTGTGATGTAATATTATGGAGTAGCTATCGTCATGTGGATATACTATAGCGTCCTAGGCACGCCCCTTTCAAGCTGAATCCTCTAAACTCATTAGTCATCGGATTATTCACAGGCGGAAGATGCTTCTTTCTAAAAGTCAGCATTAATAACATGAATGTGTCATAGAAACATAAAGTCATAGAAATGTTAGAACACCCAAGTTATGAAAATAGCATTCATCTTTCATACAATAATAAGGGTGATACAAAGGTGAGTTCAAAACACGGGGAGACTACAAAACTACTCCAACCCATCTAAATACTATGACCCACCAGCCCTAACCAAAAAACAAACAATGCTATCACGTATCACTACACAACTCTATCTCCAAAAAGTGACAGTCGTGTCTTTCCC